CCCCCTTCCCCCCCATGGTTTTAAAAAAAAAAAAAAAAAAAAAAAAAAAAAAAAGGTGGGGGGGGAATATATGGTTCTTGCAGGAATAAGCCTTTTATCAAGATGGGAAACACTTTCTCGAAAGGCCCGAGTCTGCTGTGCAGCCGCGGTCCGTTTAACGCTCGCCCGTTTGCACGGGTTTGGAGCCCACCTGGGCCAGTTCAGGTGAAACGCGCTCCCTGCTTGGTCTCCAGCCCCGCGCCATCAGCTGCCCGAGGAGGGAGGGCACACAGCGAGAAGTTTACCTCGGGAATAGCTCCACTAAATAATTAGCCCAGGTTTAAATGGAAGGGACTGCATTGCGACATGCGTCCTCGCCCTGCCTGGGCCTCTCTCATATTTGTAGCACCAGTGAATGGAAAGTCACCGGGGCTGTATAAGGAGCAATGCTTACAAAAAAAAGAAAAAATTGGATTTTTTTTTTTAAATAAATTTACATAGTACCCGATAGAGCCAACACGTGCGCAGAATGTCGAATCTTAACTTTTCAAGGCAGGATGTTTAACAAAGCTCGTATTTTCGCGATGCATTGTAACTTCGCCTTATCACAGTGTAAAGGGTAGTCAGATTGTCCTAAATTATGTCCAACTAGCCCCCCTGGATCCACGGATTAAGAGATTAAAGGAGACCACTGGGCAATGCCTCCTCTTTCCCCTTCATATTCCTGGTATGATAATTGCCTAAACTGATTTGCACTTTCACAAAAGCTCGCAGAATTCTTTGTAGCTCGAACAGAGCAGACGAGGTTTCTCTATCAATGGAAATAAAACTGATTAATGCAGTCTATCAGGCTAAGGAGCAAATGAAGCATGAAAAAACAACCGTGTACCCCCAGAAAACCAGCTAGTTTCCTCAAGGACCCAGTGCAACTTTCCCCCCCGCCCCGCCTCGCCTCCACTCCTTTAATGTCAGAGGCTCCCCCCGCGCCCCGGATCTCTCCCCCCCGGGGGGGAACCCCGGGGGGGGGGGGGGCAGGACCTGCTGCTCACCGCCGCGACCTGCCCGAGAGGGGTTAAAAGACGGGGAAAAAAATAAACAAAAAATAAATCAAAAATAAAATAGTAAAAGAGGGAGAGAAGGAAAGAAAAAGACCTCTCCCGCAAAATAAAATACATATTTTTGCCAGGGCGAGCCACTGCCGCGGACCAGTTTCACCTTCCCATTACGAGCCAGTTCGCGCTTCAGCTTCTAACCAGGGAAGGGGCTGGGGTTGTTGTCGCTGTTGGGTTTCTTTTT